TAAAGGTGAACTGACTGAGCAGAAACTCCAAGTCAAACTTGCCAAACTTTCCAACTGCTGCCATCTCCAAGGGTACTACTAAAAGGTGGAAAGGTAGCATTTCTCTTACTTTCACATTCCTGTTTGCTCCTGTGGTAGAACCTAACAAGGGACAGAATATGAGGAGATTTGGGAGACCTAATTTAGGGCTTTCTGCTCCACAGTCAGAGAAGAAAAGAATATGGAGTGACAAACTAGAGAATGTAATCAACACCCAAGTGCTTCTAAAAATGTACTGTATATAAATTTACAGATGTATTTTACTTGATTGAATGAATAAGAGAAAATTGTATTACTAGGCAAGATAACTTCTCTGTAAATTGATCTTTATGAAATCATTTAAAATTATGATCTCACGTACCCTTGTAGTTCCAAAGTTGTATGGCTGCTAATGGTATTATACTGAAAATGTTCATATTAATGTTTATTCCAAGTATCCAATTAGCTTTAGTTGTAGAACAGGAGCATGACCATCATATGTTCTATCCCTTTGTCATGCTAGCCCTGTCTTTTACAATAATCCAAAAGGATTAAATTTAAACAGAAAACATAGTGAAGAAATGAGGTGAAATTCAGCCTAACCCTCATCAGGGTTAGATTTCAGATAAGAATTTCAGATGGCCCAAATGCTGGGCAGTTGTGATCACAAGGGCAAACCAAGCTCAATAAATAGCTTTGTACAATGGGAAGTGCTACAAAGAATCTCTTGATCAGATTCTGGTGATCACAGCAAGCTGAGGACTTGGAGGTTTGTGGCCCAGCAATGGGACGCTGTTAATAAAAAGGAAAAAACCTATTAGTGTCAGTGGCATTGTATAAATAGGACTAGATAATTTTCTTTTGTAAATTCATTCTCAGGTCTTCTTGAGGGTCTGTGAAATGTGCCTGCAGGGCATTTTCCTTCTGGTCAGAGGTGACTTAGCAGACTGGCAATTACTGTGATTAGGTAGCATAGGACAAATGGGGACAGCTGAGGCCACATTGACAAGCCAGAGGACTGTAAGCAAGCAGTCTGCTGGGAAAGATCCCTTTGATCTTTGCACCAGATGGCAGTTCCAGCAGAAGCGGAGTTGATGATACATTTTTATTGCAGCAGGGTGGATATTACCAACTTGCACTTGCAGGTGCCAGGAGAAAGTGGATCCTTAGCTGATCTGTATCTTGAATGGGGTGATGACAAAGGTTCCCATTTTCCATAAATAGAAGTGATCTGAATTTTTAATGAAGGCAAAAATTCATTAAAGTTTTTAAAAAATGTGGCCAGTTTCAGTTTATATAAGATTAAATATGCTTGGCAGCCAATTTGAGACTAGACATGGCTATTTTGATACTTGGGGTGGATGGCAAAAATCAATCATATTTGTTAAATTTAGTACAGAACTTGCCTTCAAATTTCTCTGGAAACATCTGCTAGCAGCCTGAAGGGAGCTAAACGACTTGTACCCCTGGAAATGCTTGTCTGCTCTTGGAAATGCTTCTGGCTTCTGGTTATGGTTATGCTAATTTGAAATAACAGAAGGTCTGTTTATAGAAATATAAAGAGTGGTCCAAGAGGGAAGAAAGCGGGTGTGGATGAAGAGTGTCTGCTCATTGCCTGGACTTGTTTGCATGACAGACATCTCATCACTGCAGCCATTCTGACTGTGGTCAGGATCTGTGGGAGACCCAGTGCTTTCAGAAAAGGTTAATTTAATGTGCAAGGGGACTGGTCCATAACTCATCTCATTTAAACATCTAATTGAGCTCATTAGAATTTTCTGGTTTCAGAATCATGTTTTTCTTCCTCTTAAACAAGCTATGATTCCTCTAACTGAACAAGATATAAAGGTGTTTTTATGACTGCAACTGTTATTTTGATCTGTATTGCACTCCAATAAGCTATCAATAAATACCCAGTGAATGAACAATATAAATTCTTTATTTATAACTTTCAGTTTCTCTGTAGAATTCCCCTTTTTCTAGTGTCTACAAGAAAGATCCTCTTGTTGGTGTATGTATCTGCCAGGTTTACCAGTTCTAAATCAGCCACAGGGGAAGTTACATTCAGAAACACATACTATGTAACAGGTCAGACAGATCTAACTGGGGTTTTAGGGCTGCCTACAAGGGGAAATGGTTAGTAATTAATATGAGGATGTCAGATTGGTTTTGTTGACTAAAAGAGCCCAGAACCTTGGTAAGAGACTCCAGAGACTGCCAAGATAATAGAGTGTTTGAGGTGAGTTATGTATGGGTGAAGCTTACAGGTGTTAATGTCTTTGGGGAGGGGAGTGGCAACGAGCCGAGTATAAGGTTTATAAGCTTGGCAGATCTCACCAAGGCAAAGAGCCTGCCAGTTATAAGAGCCTTGTCAGCTCTGTCCATACTTTTAGTTTGATTTTAAATGGAAAGTTTAGAGGCCATTGGGGACATACAAAAACTTGATAATGATGTTTAATTTTGAGAGTAAAGCTGTGGTTTCTCATTTACCATTTCTGGTTTTCATTGCTTTGTGTCAATGCATTTTGTTTCCAGATTTAGGATCAAAGAAACCTTTTCCTTGCAGTTCTCATTTTTTTCCCCCATGTGCAATCTCATGCATCAATAAAAACAAATAAATCCCTAAGGAATGTGCAAGTCTGTTGGCTTCTCCATCATGACTGTAGCCACTATACACATTTTTGGTAGCTTGGTCGTAAGAAGTCAAGTGTGGGAAAAGGAAGTGGCATAGATGACCAATGTCAGGAAAAAGGAAAATAGAGGTGAGTCATATCTCGGAAAGAGACTGATGAGAGTATGCCTTAGCTAACAAGGTTGAGTTGTGAGATGTAGGAAGTCTGGCTGTGTGTATATTTGGGAGTTGGCAAACAAATCATGGAACCTCCAAAGGAATTTTCCATTAATTAGGAGACTTCAGAGCTTATAAATGGCCTCACTCAATTTTTAAAAACCATTTTCCTAAGAAGGTGATAATGTTTCATCACTTTTGAAATCTTCATAAATATCTCAGAATGTGATGTCTCTGTATGTGAAGTATTTTATATTGGCTACAATACCTTCCTTGTTTTCCCCTTCCTAACCCTTCTTTCAGGCTCTGTCAATCTCTTGTCAAATCACTACATGTGAAGTTAGCAAATTGTAGCAGGCAGCAGGGGAGACAGAAAAGACTTTGTTAGTTTCTCTTTGGTGAGTGGAAGTTATCATTTGCAACATAATACTACATAGTGGCATCCCAAAACTCTGGGCCTGAAAACCAGAATTGATTGTGGATGCTCATGCATCTGTGGGTGTGGCTGGTAGTCCTACTCCAGGTATTCCTGGTTCTCTGTTTACTGTTGGGAGATTAACCACAGAGTTAACTATGGCATGAGGTCCTGGCGACAGCAGAAGGGGCAGGTAACAAATGAAAATAAACGAGGCCACTGAAATTGTGGACTAGGAACTGGCAACTTTTCCTTCTACTTGCGTGCCTGTGGTTAAAGCAAGTTATATGGCAGAGTTTAAAGTCAAAGGCTATGAGTTCTTGTCTTGACAAGAACTGGTCAAGAGTGTGAATGCAGTAAAGGGTTAAAATGGAGTAACCAACTGACTAGGTTTTTTATGTATGTATATGTGTATATATGTATGCTCATGTAACTAAATATAAGATCATATCTATAAATATGTATTTTATTGTATGCTATATTTAATAATATGGAATCTATATATATGACAATGACTATCTATCTATATCTATATATCTGCCTATTTATCTGATTTCCTTGGGAATGCTCATATTTCATTGGGAATGCTGATTTTCTGAAAATTCTTTTGGATTTTCCTATTGTGATATGTCTGAGATGTTTGTAGCTGCCTTGTGAGGTGGCGATTTCCCTTAGAAAGGAAAAAGTATTCTATACTTTTCATCTGTTATTTTATTTGACTAATTGGATAGCATGTTCCAATGAGCTTTCTGGGTTGAGAGCCTCAATTTTGTTTTATTTTACTTTATTTCTTTAATTTTTATTTTAAAGAGAAGAAAACCAAGCAAAATAAAACAGAATAAAGCCAATTAGAACAAACCAGTGTAAGTGACAGAGGACTTATCAACAATGGTTCCCACAATGCCTTTTGTTGTCTTCAAAATAGCTGGAGATACATTCAAACATGGTAAAAATCAAACAAAACAGAACAGAATAGAACCAACAAAAACAAACAATGAATGTAATAAAGGACTTCAAAACAAGACAATATTAAATCCAAAATTGCTACCATAATATGTCTTGCTATCTTTGAAATAGCTGGCCATACCATCGTATATAACAAAATCAAAGAAAACAAAATAATAAAACCCAACCCAACAAAACAATAAAAATCATACAGGACTTCAAAACAAGATAATAGGGAATTAACAATAGTTGCCACCTTCAAAAAGAGATCCCCCATAGATGCCATACTGTGTACCATTATCCTCTGAATAGGTAATCAAACAGCTGTCCCTAGACCTGCAAAGTGAGAGAACTACCAAACACTACAAGCATCAAATTGCATTTCACCTCAATAGCTATCATCATAGCCTGTGTTTCTGCAGATCAGCTGGTTGCTTATGGGATGGGGACTTGGCTCTTCTTGTTTCCCAGCCTGTGCACCAGGGGCTTGGGTCTGCTCTCCCCCTGGTGGCTTGTGCATAGTACTGATTCACAAGGAGGGCTTGCTTCTTGGTGACTACTTGTTCTCTTCCTCTACAGTCCACAAATGGCACTGATTCATGGGAAAAGGCTGAGGTTTGGCTGTCCCATGGTGGCCCACACATGGTATCCATTTGTAGGGAGGGCTTACTTCTTGGTGACTTCTTGTTCTCTTCCCCCACAGTCATGAATGGCACTAACTCATGAGAAAAGGCTGGGGTCTGGCTGTCCTCCTGGTGGCCTGCACATGGTGCTGATTCTCAGGGAAAGCTTGCTTCTGGCTTTTTGGTGACTTCTTGTTTGCTTCCTCCACAGTCCGCAAGTGGTGCTGACTCATGGGAAAAGGCTGGGTCTGGCTGTTCACCATGATGATGTGGCACAAAGTGAGTAGGAAAGCTTTTTAGAGAGGTAAAGGGAGGGGTGGCTTCACAGAGGAGATGATATTTACATTGAGTTCTGTAGGAGAGACAGAAATCAGCCATGCAAAGACCTTGGGAAGGAGATGACAAGGCGGGGCGGGGTGGGGAAACCAGATGTGAACATCCCAACATAATAACAACATAATAAAATCTCCAACTTCCAAAGGCCACCTTCTACTATGCACCCATAATTTCCTGTGTTTTTTTTTTTTTTTTTTTTTGTCTTTTTCATTTTTATCGGTACCGGGGACCGAACTCACGACCGCCTGCCTGCAAGGCAGGTGCTTATGCCGCTGAGCTAAATCCCCAGCCCCAATTTCCTGTGTTTTGATAAGAAAAATCTCTTCCAGGTTTTTTTTTTTTTTGAAGAGACTGTAGTATATAAGGAAGGCCAACTTCTAACAGGATTGTTTCAGTATACAGAAAAACTGAGCAGAAAGTACAGAGGTTTTCTATGTAACCACTCCAACATGTGCGGCTTCACCCATTAACAACAACCCATACCAGGATGGTACATTTCTTACAGTTGACAAACCTATATTGATACATAATTATCATTCAGAGTTCACAATTTTCATCCAAGTTCACTCTTGGTGTTGAACATTCTGTGAGTTTGGACAAATGCATGACATATCCATTTTAAAGAGTCATACCGAGTAATTTCACTATTCTGTAAATATTTTGGTTACTTTCAAGTACAGGCAAGCCTCACAAATGTCATTTACATAGCAAAAGAAGAACAAAGAAAAGTGGCTAGTACAACTTTCTCCTTTTTTCTTTCTTTAAGATCATAAAAGTCTTTGACACGTGGAAGGCAGGCTTTTATTAACTAGGCATTTGTATCATAAACAGGATTCCCAGAGAAGTTGGAAAGTCCCAGAATTCTGAGTCATTGATGCTTGAATAGATGTTTTGTAAGGCCAAGTATTTGCTTTCACAAATAAAGCATTGATGAACTAAACAGTTGCTTGAAATGAACCAGGAAAGTTTTGTGATGTGCACTTGGCTTTCAGAAGATGGTGCCATGATCTAAAACAATTTCCCTCTTTTTAATCTGTACTCCATAAACAAAACAAAAACCAAAAAAATTCTTTTTTGGCCAACACTCTTTGTTAATATCTTGTGTGAAGGAGTCCTGTTTCTGCAAACAGAAAAACAGGAGGTACAGTTTCACTTAGAAAAGTTGGATGTTGAAAAATCTTGATGTACACTAGATAGCAACCTTTGGTTTGTGTGCTGCAGTAGTGTCTTCTCTCATGATGTGAGTTAGAAGAAAAGAAGGAAGAATTCTGTTTGTGAAAAATGGTTTTGTCAGGAGGCAGATAAATATGGTTTATTTCCTGATTTGGGCTGTTGGCAACACAGCTGGGATGTTTTAATAAATTGTAGCACTTCAATAATAGGAAGGTGTAGAAATAGAACTGGAAAAAGATCAGAGAGGGACACAGCATCAGATGTTTGATGCTCTAGGATCTTATTTATATTTATGAGAACTAAATACCTTATGTGGACTTTGATTTAACAACAATAAATGGTGGGAAATACTAGCTATCTGTGGATGCTTAAACAGATGTAATTCAGAAAAGGAGAATACTTTAGCTTGATCCAAAGAGCTGGAGTTGGTTGAGGACCCCAGTTGGTAGAAATTATGGAACTGGAAGAGCTTCCTTGTGGAAATAAGGTCATTTATATTTAAATAGACATGTTATGGGCTTATATAAGCCCTTCCTCCTCGTCTTCCTCCTGTTTCTCACTCAAGCTGTCCTTTTGGGCAAGGAAGTTTGTTCTGAGGATTGGATATAGCTTCCTGTATCAGAAGAGGGAAAAACAAAAAGATTCATGATTGGAACACACGGGCTTAGTTTATTTAGTGCTTGGGCATTTTCAGGACATTTCTGTTGTTCAGTAGAATCGATTCATTCCTTGCCCTTGAATCTGAAGGTCTTAGAGTTGGGTCTTAAGGTCTATCTTCTTCTCACTTGGTACAGAACATGTATGAAAGAAGTGTTGACTGATGGTTACTCAGACGCTTGTTTGAACACTTTTGGTAAATGGGCATGTCGGTTCTTTGTGAATGAGCTCACTCTTTGGTATTTACTGAAGTTCAGTCCAATATGGATAGTCATGGAAGTACAATGTAATCAAGTGATAGATTTTGTAAACTATTGCTTGCATCTTACTCTCAGTGACTGTGGTAGAATTGCTTCAGGAGAGCTGGCATCAGTGTTATTTAAGCTTCAGGTAATGCCCGTGGGAAGTTGAGGTTGAGAATACTGGCTCTGGGCATTGGGAAATGCTTTTGCATTCTGACAGAAGTCAAGTCTCCCTGAACTGCCGCCTATTCAGGATCGTTCTGTCTTCTGGAGCTAAGTCCATCTATCTCCTCCTTTATAGGACAGCCTATTAAATATATGGAGATGGCAGCCTACTACTCTAAGACTTCCTCTTGTCCAGATGAAGTCATGTGTTTTCTTAAAAGTCATTATGATGATGGACTTTTATTTTCCTTATCATCTTGATGATCATCCACATTGTCAGGGTACCACTGACAGTGTCTCTGTCTTCCTGCTTTTGTTTATCTTTTGTAAGATAAATGTCAGCCAGATATCTCTAATTTTCCTCTACTAAAAGCGTACAGCTTAGTTAGGGAGGTAAGCATGAGAATAACTAAAGCTGTCCATCTTACAATTTCAAACTTGATTTTCAGTGTCCAAAAGCAGGACTTACATTTATCCTTACTAGATTTCATGTTATTGGGTTTAACCTAGCTGTCTTTAGAAAGTGTTGGTAAGTGCTATATTGTGTATTTGGCATGTCTTCCAAAAGGCCTATGTGTTTAAGACTTGGTCTTCAGCTGTGGCATTATTAGGAGGTTAGAGAACCTTTAAAAAGCAGACTACTCATGAGCCTACAGAATAAAATATCCCAACCCCTTCCCCCATTAGCAAATGGGAGCGAGAGATCTGAGCAGCTCTTGGGAGATTGACCATATGCAATATAGCAAATAAGGGGGATTTCTTTCTACCATTTCTTTGAAGGCAAATATTGTTATCACCGTTTTGCTTTGTTCTGATTAATGGTATTGATATATTCAATATTCTGTTTTGATAAATTCCATAATGTTCTATATTTCATTTGATTTTGTTATACCTGATTGAAAGAACAACTATTGTGAAGATAATGAGATATACTATGGTACCTATTGCTGTTATCCCGGTAACCTACTGTGAAGTTCTGTACCAATTTCACTGCATTCTCAATTGGCTTTGTCCTGTCTTGTTCTGTTGTATTTTACTACCTTCAAAATAATTAAAAAATTTTTTAAAAAGCAGGCCACAGTTGGAAGAGAATAGACCATTGGGATTATGCCCTCGAAAGGAGTTTTGAGATCTTACCCCTTCTTGTCTCCTTTTTATTTCTTGCACCTGTGAGTTGAATAGCTTCCTTTGGTATGTGCTCCTTGCCATGATACACTGCATTGCCACAATCCCAAAGACACCCAAAGACAATGGGGCTGGAGAACCATGGACTGAAACCTATGCAAAATAATGAGGAGAAATAATCCTCTTATTAAGTTGGTTATTTTAAGTACCTTGTCACAGTGATGGAAAACTGACTAATATAGTAAGTATACCTTCCTGGTAAGGTATCTTTATAACTTTGTCTATATTATATAAAACAGTAACTATAATAACCTTTCTTTATTGACTATGAGCACTTTGTTGACTGTAAACATCACCTAATTGGATTGAGAGAGACAGAGACAGGGCCCTAACCTATGGAAGAATTAAATTGAAAAGTTTACAAGATTACCAGTTTAGTATTACAGACAAGGAAGGATACTCAGGGGCAGAAGCAAGATACCAGAGAGTGCAACTAGAAATTACACTGGAGAAAACTGGGTTCTAGAAAGAAATTTATAACATCTGTGCTGGTTTTCAGAATTGCTCTGGACCAGTGCCGATGGTGTGCCTCCTTTTCCTTCCTTCAGAATGGGAGTGTGGTAATCCACATTTTGTCTACTTTTGTATGTGTAGTGTGTATATGTGTGTAGATAATTTGTCTGTTCAATTTGTAGTATTCAGATGGTGATGAACAGTAAGTGTGCTTTACCCAAAGTGTCACATACAGGGAACCTTATTTTTCCTTGGACATGATCTAGAGAGATAAGATCCTGGGAGGTCTTAGTATGGTTTGCCTGTGCATGCATGAGGGTTATCAATAATTTGTGTCCAGAAGCAGATTGGACCTGGGCTTTGTTACTACTTGAACAATATGTAGTATAATATAAAAGCTTCAGGCTTAATAAACTGGCAGCTTCTATTTTCTGTCTCTTTAAAGGCTTAGTTTTGCAATCCAACCACCATGATGAGAGGAAGCCCAAAATATATAGTGAGGCACTTATGGGGAGAATCAGACAACTAGAACAAACTGTCTAGGAAGTGATCTTTTAACTCTAGTTGAGCTACCTTAGCTTATACTAGTAGAGCTGGCCCTGTCAAGCCCTGCTCAAAATCTAGTTTGTATTCATAGTAAATCACTGTTATTGTTTTATGCTACGAAGTTTGGAGTGATTTGTTTTGAAGCTATAGATAATGATACACCAGCATTGTGCTAGTGACTTTTCATATATATATATATCATTATTTAATCCTCCAGATGATGCAAAGACATGAGCATTGTTTTCTTCTTCTGATGGATGAGGGAAGTGAGGCCCAAAGAGTTTAAATAACATGTCCAAGATCATGGAAATGGTAAATGGCAATAATGGAGTTGAAACTGGGCAACATACCATCTTTGTTAAATCTCTAAAATATTGAATAGGATGGGGCCAAGGACAGTAGAGTGGCGTGGCCATTTAACAAATACTTTTATAGGGCATTTTTTTGTGGAGAGAAAAAGGAAACACGATTTGCTAAAAAGATAGAGAAAGGGATGCAGATATGAAAGCAAAAAAAATACAG